GTTAACAGTCCATCGGACACTGACTCGCGTCCATACATGACTGGGCTCCGTCTAACTTTTATAGTCCAAGTTTGATATATTTCTTTAAGACCATTACGTTGTCTGAATGAAGTTTTTGAAGTACCCTCAGGTGCAGTTACGGTGGCTCTCGTTACACAGAATCGATGTCATGTATTACCCAGCAACAAATAGCCCTTGACTGAAGGGTAGCGCCCATTTAAGGGAGTAACACATCCACGCACCATGTCCCTTCGTGGAGGAACCTTAGTATTGACCCGATTTAAGGAGTATTAATGTGTGTGTTGTGCGATAACCTAACACAGCCCGAGATACATTTATCCCTTCATCCCGGTGTATAAAAACATGTTTGTAACAATGTTTTAATTCTTTTGGGATGCATTTTGTTTTTCTAGTTTAATGTTGTAACGAAATTGCGATGAAACAGACGACTTATACATATACGTCAATTCACTGATTCGTTAGGTGTTAATTTAACATGTTTTTTAAAAATTAAACTTTGCTCTACCCCCACGTGAAGTGCAATAATAAAGTATATTTTTGCCCTGAACTATTATAGTTAAAGCATGGCACTTGGTCCGGAGTGCTTTGACGTTATAATAGTTCAGGGCAAAACTAAAGATTACTGCACTACACTGGGAGTAGTGCAAACTGTATCACTGTTCTAAGATCACGAATTTAAGACTAACCTTGTGTTATATTAGAGATGGGTTAAAAAAGTATCCTGCTATAAGTGGTACCTTGATTAGAAATACTCGAGCAGGGCTAACTGACATGCTGTTCCACCTGACTGCCTGTACCCAGACGTTAAGAGACAAATACGTTTTGAACATAATAAAACACGACTAAAATTGTTAGTTTATAGTTTAACTAAGTCACTTTTTATTATCTGTTCTGTATGTGATGGTCCTTAATCCAATGCAGCAATAAAAAGAATATATATTTAAGTTTTCATAATAATTTTCTTCAGTTTAATCACGTGACTCGAAACATTCTACAAGTGCAATTTCGGGCCGAACCAACACAAGTAAATATAGCCGACAATCGGTGTCGTAAACGTTGTTACTTTATTTCCGCCACTTATGTTTATAGCAGACTGTTAAAAGAAACTGTTAGCCCTGAAATAGTGCGCTAAGCAAAGGGACCGTCTCAAAAGTGCACAGTCACCCACTAGATCAAAAAAGAACTTTCATATAGAATTTACCACCCACCTACCCCCTCTAGATTAATGCACTGTATAATGAGATATTATTAAATGCTTCAGCATTTGACTTGAAAAACATCCATTCAAATATAATAAACAGCAACAATTTCATTTGATATGGAACAAAACATTTTATTTCTATATAACTTTCTTGGCACATTACTGATATCTGTTACTATTTTCTGTAATAATGTTGTGACAACAGAACGATACCTTTTTTTTATTTCTGATTGTACCCACTGTTTTTGACCAGATATGAGATTGTCATAATCCAGATATTCTTCAACATAAACATTGTACAATGCTGAAATAATGTCACCGTTTCCTCCATCATAATTTTATTTATCTCAACATCAGGTGAAACAGGTTTTTGATGATCTGGCGAGTTTGGTCATGCGCAGTGTTATCACCTCAATATTACCCTGTTGTCTTCTGTGACAAACGGACAACATTTGCTAACTGAGTTAGTGTATCACACAATAATCCTTGTTAGGCAAACTTGAATCTGACAGATGAGAAAACAACTATGGTAATTCTGTCCCTGTTTTGTTAAATGTTGAAGATAAAGTTTACTATCATCGTCACCACAGCCATTTGGTCTGTCAGCATGGCTAGTTACCTTAAGAAAGACAATCAGAATGCCAGAATCAGTACAAATGGGGTTGAACGATACAAAGTTTGTTTCGTCTGGCAGGTGAGTGAGTGAGTGAGTATGGTTTTACGCCGCTTTTAGCAATATTCCAGCAATATCACGGCGGGGGACACCAGAAATGGGCTTCACACATTGTACCCATGTCTGGAATCGAACCCGGGTCTTCGGCGTGACGAGCGAACGCTTTAACCACCAGGCTACCCGACCGCCCCCGTCTGGCAGGTGTTTGGTGGTGATTTATGTTCAAAGTCACCTGCAATTGTACAGGCAGACAGACATGTATCTTTGAATAGTGCATACGAGTACTGTCACGTCCTGCAGTTAACAGTCCATCGGACACTGATTCGCATCCATACATGACTGGGCTCCGTCTAACTTTTATAGTCCAAGTTTGATATATTTCTTTAAGACCATTACGTTGTCTGATTGAAGTTTATAAAGTACCCTCAACTGCCGTAACGGTGGCTCTCGTTACACTGAAGCGATGTCATGTATTACCCAGCAACAAATAGCCCTTGACTGAAGGGTAGCGCCCATTTAGTGTATCTGCTTGTTTGGCATCAGAATGCCAGAATCAGTACTTGATGCAGTCTGCGATAGGCGACTGTTTTTTAAATGTTTCCATGCAACATCGCCACATATTTGGAGTACCTTTGTTGTGCCTACATTTTTCGCTTGATATTTGTTCATAAAGCTAGTTTTGGGGTTTGAATAGAAGGGGGCTGGGGTTTTCGCTAGCTTTCCAAAAAAAATGTTAATTGTTTGGACATATTTGCATGACATATTCGATTGACCTAGTGGCTGGTAGCAATAGACGCCTCAGTCTGGTTCCCTGGGTATGCTGCGCTGGCGCTACACTGGCCCAGGCAATGACTGCACAATGGCGGCCTCCACTAGACGAACAAACATGGCGGACACGCCATGTATTTACTATAGAAAAGACTCTAGAACGGGTGGTTAAAAATTTTTCTTAGCATTTTCATAATACTCTTGCAATGTATACGTCACGAGAATAACGTCCATTGTTACTTTTAGTGAAGGAAAACATTATTTAAGCTGTTTCGAGACTCGAAAGTGGTCGTCAGATCGGTGAAAAGTAAACAATGTCACACACCCCATTTTCAACAGTGATATGTGCGTTAATATTTCGTTTCAGCTCACTGTTGTCACGAAATCGTATACATAATACATGGAATTAAATGACCACGTTCATGAAATACCGTTAGCATCTTTATTTTATCAAATCTGATGACGCAAAAGTCGGCGATTATGCCCCGTTTTCTACCATTGTAAAATGGTGGGTTTAGCGGAATTATTGAACGCCTAGTATAAACGTAACGTAACTCTCGAAGTGTACGAGGGCTGGTAAAAAAATTCTAAGCCTAACAAACAAAACAAACAATTGTGAAAGTGTTTTTAATTTTATTTTTCAACATAATTTCCCTGCTTTTCAATACCCTTATCGATCATATCGCTAGTGAAGCTTTTTAATTCCACTCAGGAAGCTCTTCGAACCCACATTGTCGTACAACAGCTTTTGCAAGTCGAGAGGTGTGAGGAGAGGCACTGTCATTAAGTTGTAGAACTCCAGCAGTCAGCATTCCTCGCCGCTTTTCTTTGATAGAATCTGTCATGCGATGAAGCAAATCAGCATAGTAGGCACTGGTAATTGTCTTTTGACTTTCTAAGTAATCAACAAAGATCACACTGCTTGCATCCCAGAAAACAGTAGCCATAACTTTCTTCACTGATTTTGAAGATTTAAATTTCTTTGGTGCCAGAGAAGTGGAATGGTGCCATTGCATGGATTGACGTTTTGACTCGGGATCACAGTGGTTTCATCACCCGTTACTAATCTCTTTTCGAATTTGACGAAATCCTCCTCAATTAGCTCAACATTGTCTCTGGCAAATGTCAGATCTTTTTTCCTTAAGATCAGGATTTAGAAACTTTGGCACCAAACGAGCAGATATTTTATTCATCTGTAAATGTTCATGAATAATAGTTTTATTGGATCCATGGCTTAGGCCTGTCTACCTTAGGTTCAGCAATGGTAATACGTCTATCTGTCAGTATTAGTGTTCTCTATCTCCTTGATTGAATCTTCATTGATGGAAATTGAGGGACGTTCAGACTTAGGGTCGTCGTAAAGGCTTGTTCACCCAGCCTTAAACATAGCCCGCCAACGTTTAACAGTGGAATAACTAGGACACTTATCACCATACACTTGTGACATGCGGTCTTGACTTTCTTGAGTATTTTTTTTTCAAAAGCTTGATGACTGCTCGGCACTCGTTCTTTTCCATTTCTGTCTCCATTTGGACCCCTATCACGTTCAACGGCCTCAACGGACCAGCTACACTTGCAATGAACTACTCAAACAATGTTCTTCATTGACTAGTTCACTTTGTTATAGCCCACAGCTGAAAGTTAGTCAGGCTTAAAACTTTTTGACCAGCCTACGTAGTTTAGTATAGAAATACACGACGAATGGGAATTCTTGCTGCAGTGTTTTATTGTACGATAAACAACAACCACGAGTCGTTTATTACTTTTATGAGATATCAACATTATGTACAGCCTCTTTAAGGGTCCTAATAAAATGTACAAGCTTTAGAAATATTTGCCCGTATGTAAATAATGATGACTCCCGGAATACAATCGGACAAGTCCATTTTATGAAAAGGGGGGTAAATTGTGGTATCTTCTCACAATTTTTAAGTCAATTATCTGTACCTTTCCTCCCAATACCGATTGTAAACATATCTCGCCCACTTTTGCATGCGATCGATCGGCCATTACTTTAATCTATGTTGCCCAGTTACATCTATGGGGAACAACTCACTAGACACTTCCCTCTCAAAAACAACGTCGTCCAATTTACGACGTCATCACCTTGCGAGCGCATATTCGAATCTCCAGAAATGACGTCATAAAAGAAAAATGTTTTATCATGAAATAAAACACATTTCGTTCTTCCTTGTTCTTTGGGATTTATTTCGGAGCTATCTTATATCGCAGGATAAAGTACAATCGGCGCGTTTGATCCTTTAGCGAAGCATCTATTATGTATAACCAAGAGTTGTGTAGGCGTGAAGGGTGATTGTAGTTATTTTTGTATTACAGGTTTTTTGTCGAAGAATGTTAGATAAGTCCCGACCAGTCGTCCACATGGCCACAAGCGCTTGGAATGGGGTCAAGGCACGTCAGAGTCTCCGGATCCTGCTCCCACTCAGTCTCGTGTGCTTCGTAACCATAGCGATCTACCTGCTGCACAATGGCTGTGACAGGATCCCTACCTCCCCCGACTTGTGTGAGATATGGAAAGGTGAGTTAGTGAATATTGTTTAATGCCGCACCAGAAGCAAGTTCTGTTAACGGCGATAATATGGAACTCTGGATGAAATTGATAATATGTCAGAAGTCAGAAGTTCAAACAAATGTCATCATGTGTCGCTTAGGAAGATGTACATGTAACTTCGTGGTCCCGACTTAACTATTTGTTTATTTATCACAATTTGACCAGTTGAAGTCGCTTTGAGGAACGGGGCCCAAGTGTTTTTCTGCCTCCGTTCAACTTCCATTGTCTAACAGGGGGTACGGGTGGCCCAGTCGTCTGAGGCGCCGCGATTCGCTGTGCAGAGTTGCGTCCCTTGTGCTCGCCAGAAACCTATGATTGTTGGTTCGAATCCCGGTTCGCCCCAATTATGTTTCTAGGTTTGTCAACACCATACCCATGCTTATGGGTTTCACTGAAGTGGTAAACGCCTGAGACCTGCATCACTTCGGGATTTTCTCCCACATTAAGCTGACACGCCGCGATATAACTGGAATACTGTTAAAAGCGGCGTTAAACCAAACTCACTCACTCACTGTCTAACAGCGACTTACGATAGTCGTAGCTACGAACATCGTAGCTGCAATAGTTCTACAGATACCATCAATAGTAGTACAGCAACGAACATCGTAACACCTATTGCGTAACAGCGACTTACGATAGTCGTAGCTACGAACATCGTAACTCTAATAGTTCTACAGAGACTTTCAATAGTCGTGCTGCTATATCAACAACTAACGATAGTCGTAGGTTCAAACACCGTTACCCCAATAGTTCTACAGAGACGTTCAATGGCGGTACTGCTACGAAGATCTTAACTCCTATTGTCTAAGAGAGACTTAAGATAGTGTAGATGCCAACATCTTTACACCCTTAATCTAACAGAGACTTTTAAGGCTTAGATAGTAGTGCCATATGTGTTGGCATAGCTACAGTTACGACGGTCGTAACTCAATCATAATGTACTGGACAATGAGGGTGTCTTGGGTGGGAGACGTGTGGATAGCCTAGGGGTTAGGTGTTCACTCATTAAACCACATGTCTGGCTTCGAATCCGTACACGGATACAATTTTAAGACCCTTCTCTTGTGTTACATTATATGACTTCTACATCTTTAGATGGGGATCAAAACATTAATCACAAGAAATCAACAATCAAGAAAAAAAGAAACATCAACAACTTCACTGATTTTCCCACTGTCTTTTGGTGTATTTCCACGTGTTGTTTATATTGTTGTTTCTGATTTCAGGTGAAACACCTCGAACCAACGCAACACTATGGTGGCAGTGGGCGTGTCTAATAGAATGGTGAGTCAGATTTACTTGCAGTCTGGTTCCCTGGGTATGCTGCGCTGGCGCTTTAGTATAGCGCCAGCGCAGCATACACAGGGAACCAGGCTGATTTTCTTGGAGACATTTTGGACGTGGGTAGGGTTTTATTGTCAAAAACAATCTATAACGCTGAGAATACATTTATAAAGCAGTTTTATGCGGTGGTCGGCCCCACTCATGTATGGTTGTATGTTGCAGGGACATGGACAACGGAAACGGCTACCAGTGTCAGAACAAGGAGTTAATGGGGAACTGGCCTGTGTGCTGGGACCACGACCACAGTCCCAGGGACCCCTGTCTCGTTTACTCCTTCGGGTGAGTGATTGAGTGAGTGAATGGGTTGGGTGTGTGTGTGTGTGTGTGTGTGTGTGTGTGTGTGTGTGTGTGTGTGTGTGTGTGTGTGTGTGTGTGTGTGTGTGTGTGTGTGGTGTGAGTGGTGTGAATGGTTGAGTGTGTGGTGTGTGAGTGGTTGAGTGTGTGGTGTGTGAGTGGTTGGATGTGTGGTGTGTGAGTGGTTGGATGTGCGGTGTGTGAGTGAGTGAGGATGTGAGTGAGTAAGTGGGGTTTTGGTGTGTGAGTGAGTGAGTGGATATGTGGTGGGTTGATAGGTTGGTGGGCGGTGTATTAGCGAGTGAGTTTGTGTGGCGTGTGAGTGAGTGAGTTGGTGGGTAGGTGGATTGGTGGGTGAGTGAGTGAGTGAGTGAATGTGTTTTTGTGTGTGAGTAAGTAAGTGAATGAGTGGATGGGTGTGAATGTGAGTGGTTTAGGTGTGTGTGTGAGTGAGTGAGGATGTGAATGAGTGACTGGATGGGTCGGTGAGTGGATGGGGGAATGGGCGAGTGAGTGAGTGGGTGAAGTTGTTTATATATTGTGTGAGTGATCGAGGTGATTGGTGAGTGAGTGAGTAGGTGGGTAAATGAGTGAGTGAGTAAATGGATGGTTTAAATGTAGGATGGTGTTTTATATAAAAATAGGAAGAAATATTCCAGCAATATCAAAGCGGGGAGACCAAACGTGTCTCTCACGACAATCGAACCTGGTTCTTCCACGTGACGTGCGCACGTACCACTGGGCTACCTCACCGCCCTTTATCTCCCCCAGAGACGGGCCCAGTAGGGCTGGGACGGGTAACTCGGGTACTCGGGTCGGGTGGGTCCTGAGTAGGACATGGGTACCCACAGGACTACCCGGACCCGTGGTTAGTCATGTGATATATTGTTTAATGATAAAAACTCACTGTAGCTCAGTGGTTAGACTACAAGTCGCTCATGTTCGCAATTCTTTTCTAACGATACACACATTCCTTTTGACTTGCATATGTTTGAGTAAAGATAACGCTTCAGTCAACTTCCGTGTACGCATGATCTGAATAGTTTTGGCCAGGGCTGCGGTAAAACACTTCCCAATCAGACATTTTGTTCCCAACTCTTGAGACCTGCAGTGGATACCCGGGTAGGGTCGGGTAATAGGGGGTGGATACCCGGGTAGTAGATTTGGACTCGTCCCAGCCCTAGGGACCAGTCAACACTGCCGCCTTGTTATAAGGGTTGAGGGCAAACAGAGGCAAAACCAGAAAACCTGGATTGGAAACACTGCCGCAAGGCTAATTCTACAGTTAAAATCTAAAAACACAGAGCTTATCTGCTCTTCCAGCCTTGTGGTTTAAGAATTCGCTCGTCAAACCAATGTCCCGGGTTCTATTGCCCACGTTGTGCTGTGTATGATTTTATAATGAATGGTTGTTCAGAAATATGCTCTTCAACAGGCACTAACTAATCCATTCTTTATCATAATAAAAAGAGTTTCTCGTTGAGTTGAAAGTATGACGTCATGTCTATTATGCCTTTATTCCACGTACACCCTGAATTTGATTTTTATCGTTTCAGTATAAACAATGACTTCAGTTTCGATGACGCAATGGCAAAACGAGGGTGCACCGTGTACAGCTTTGACCCAAGGTAGGTCTTCCTGTGTTTGTAGTGAGTGAGTGAGTGAGTGAGTGAGTGAGTTGGATTTAACGCCGCTTTTAACAGTATTCCAGTTATATCACGGCGTGTCAGCTTAATGTGGGAGGAAAGCCCGAAGTGATGCAGGTCTCAGACGTTTACCACTTCCGTGAAACCCATGAGTATGGTGCTGACAAACCTAGAAACATAATCGGGTCGAACCGGGATTCGAACCCACAATCATAGGTTTCTGGCGTGCCCAAGGGGCGCAACTCTGCACAGCGAATCGCGGCGCCTTAGACGACTGGGTCACCCGTGCCCCCCTCCTGTGTTTGTAAGGTGATGAATAGGATTGTAATGTGAATTCATCGCTATAACGTATTTTGTCAGCTTAAATATTATCAGTTCAATGTGATTTAAAATTTGCTGATAAAAAAAACCGCCATGTTTTGTATGATTCTGAAACCATCACATACGGACTAGACCCTACGTGCGGATGATGTGGTAAGGGCATGTTTAGATGAGGATGGAGGTTGAGTAGCGCGGATGGCTACTCGTGTTACAAACCAGTGAATGTCCTGCCTCAATCTAGACAGCTACACACTGACGCTCGCTCATTCTACTAACCAGACGAGTCATTTGAAACCTTTGTACGACACGGGCCGTGAAGATCCGGGTCAGAATAGGTCTTCAGTTACCTATACTTGCCGTAAAAGGTGTCTATTCTTGTCGTAAGAGGTGACTAACGGGATCGGGTGGCCAGGCTCGCCGACTTGGTTGATGCATGTCATCGTATCCCAATTACGTGGATCGATACTCATGACATCAATCACTGGATTGTCTAGTCCAGACACGATTATTTACAGACCGCCGTCATATAGCTGGAATATTGCTGAGTGCGGCGTTAAACCACAAACAAAAAAACAACTAAAAAAACAAACGTATGACATGGCCATATCCAATGACATGGTGTTTGGAAACCTGCCGCTGATATAGTCATATCAAATGACATTTGTCAGTTGAAACCTAAGGCCAACACTGTCGTATCTAAATACCTATTTAAAGGAAATACCTATTGTGTACTTTAGACGGCAAGGGTCAACTGCAGGCTTTCCTCCCACAGTAGCTCACACGCCCTGATGTCATTGACATGCTGTTCAAAGCAACGCAAACAAACTCACTCAATGTTTCAGTATGGGGGTAACAGATCACAAACATTCCGAGCGGGTGTTCTTCAAAAACCTGGGCCTGGGTGCGGTGGACACCGACTCCTTCCACCCCCACTTTGACGGGTACGTCCGACATTCTACCAGCTGGAAGATCCGAACACTCAAGTCCATCATGAAGATGCTAGGCCACGAGAAGGTTTGTAGTTCAATAGTGGCGCTGTCCATAGGTTTTATAACGGCCCTTTGGAATTCCGGGTTTGAATTGACCCCAAGCAACCTATGCTGGTCGTAAGAGGCGACTTAAGGGTTTGGGTGGTCAGACTCGGTGTCTTGAGTGATGGCGTGTCATCGTACCCGGACTGCCTGGATCGTTGCTCACAATACCAATCACTGGATAGTCTGTATGACACGGACCGTGAAGATCCGGGTCAGAACAGGTCTTCAGTAACCCATGCTTGCCGTAAAAAGGCGACTATGCTTGTCGTAAGAGGTGACTGACTGGAACGGGTGGTCAGACTCGCTGACTTGGTTGATGCATGTCATCGTATCCCAATTGCGTGGATTGATGCTCATGATGTCAATCACTGGATTGTCTGGTCCAGACTCGATTAGATACAGACCGCCGTCACACAGCTGGAATATTGTTGAATGTGGCGTTAACACACACACACACACACACACACGCACGCACGCACGCACGCACGCACGCGCAGACACACACACACACACATGCACACATAGACACACAAACACACACACACGCGTAATAGCAAGGTCTCGCGTGTTTTCGGATTCTCTAAGACTGATGAGGGGGCACGGGCACCCCAGTTTGCTATGCAGAGTTGTGGCCCCTAGTTGCTTCAGAATCCTACGATCCATCGTATGCACCTTGGTTTGTCAGGACCATAGTCTACGGTTTCACTGAGTGGTATACAGCTATGACAAACACCACTTCCAGCAATAACTGATATCCGTGATATACTAAATGTAACTGAAATACGGTGGAAAACGGCACTAAGCTCAACTCACTCGCCGTGGAAGTATTCACATACCCAGCAGAGGCATAAGGTTCACTGTCCTAGGAGGAAGATTATGTAATGTAATGCTTGAGGCGGAGCATCTGTAGCTGCAGAAATTATTTCTCACTTCTGGAGTCAAAAATATTAAAAAGCTTTTTATAATCCACATGTAATCGCATCTCCTAACAACTTCTTATGCAATTCTTATGACGGGTGCCACCGATGGAGCAGGATACGCTTACCGTGTCACGAATACCTTTGACATCACTTTTTAAAAGAGATTCATAAACAGAGCAGAATTTATGTCGTATAGTCTGGCCATGAGGCCAATAGTACAGATGGTTGGATAATATTTGACATATTGTGACAGAGCGCTTTAGTTAATATTGGCTTTGGAATTTCTAAGTTTAAACATTTTATCTAAATAAAGAGCTAGCTGAAATAAAATGTTGTCGCCATTTGCTGTGAGTAACAATACAAACTCGTGCAGGGTAGGATATTGATAATAATACGAGGGCAAATACCTTAACCTTAAGTTAGTATAAGCTGGTATTCATCATCTAAGTCTTCTTTACAGAAAGTACATAGACTGTCAGCAAAGTCATGGTCACTAGACATTCTAAATTTATGTGTTTTAAAATTATTTGAACAACATCTAAATTTTGTTAAAGATCTTCTTAAATTTATAGTCTTAATCGATGATAGATATTTTTCAGGTTGTAGTAAGGATTTGTAAGTGCAATATAAATCTAGCTTCTATATGACCATTCTTGCATAAACAAATCTCTTGTTCTTTTCTTAAATGTATAAATATAAACATCACAGTCTCCGACATCTTGCATCAACCATACATAACCGAAACCATAACTAAACAATGTATATCTTACAAATGCTTAGGATCTAGTCCGAATCACACAATGGCCTCTGCCTTTAGCAGAGATTTCTAATGATTACGTGAAAGGTTTCGTCCTTTATAATATTGTCCCATAGGTCTGAAACTAACGTGAAACATATCAAGTAGGAGCATATCAAATGCAATAAATTTAATAAATCTGTTCAAGTCAGTTTTCTCACTCTGAATATGTCATGTGATCTCGTTTCTGTTTTCAATTGGCAGCGCGTGATCGATGTATTGAAGATCGATATTGAGGTGTACGAGTGGGCTGTCACAGCCAACATCATGAAGGACGGGCTGTTTCCCCAAATCCGCCAGTTTCTCGTGGAATGGCACATCTTCCCGAACGAACCATCCAGGGAGCACTTCAGGGACATCTACGAGGCCTACATGAGCCTGAAGACGGGCGGACTGAAGTTCTACCACAAGAACAGCGGCAGCAGGTACCACCACTATCGGTACTGGAACTCCCAGGCTGACATGTGCTACGTCAACACCCACTTCAAGCAGCCCAGCTAACACTTCCGTCATGCGCACTACGGAGTCGGCATGGGGACACTGGAGTGAAAGCCGTGTTTGTTTGTTGTTTGGCGTCGCACTCCGCAATATTCCAGCTATATGGCGGCGGTCTGTAAATAATCGAGTCTGGACCAGACAATCCAGTAATTAATACGTGGTACGGGATACGGTGACAACGCGTTACTCTTGCGACAAGCATGGGTTGCTGAAGACCGATCCTAACCCTTATCGGGTCGAAAGTTGTATGGTACATTCCGGAGGAGGGTAAGGAGTATATATTTAAAGATGTAGGTAGAGCTTGTATGACTGAAGAAAGAAACACGTTGCACACAAGAAACCTGTATTTTTTTATGACATAGCGTATTGCTACTTTACGTTCCTGCGAAGCATTTATAATTTTAGTCAGGTATACAGGAATTTAATGTTTTAGAATGGAATTCACGATCTGCAAGAAGTTCGTGTTCCATTGAGTCCTACAGCATTGAAGCCACAGTTGAACTCAACAGCATTGAAGCCATAGTTGAACTCAACAGCACTGAAGCCTCAGTTGAACTCTACAGCATTGAAGCCACAGTTGAAATCAACAGCACTGAAGCCACGGTTGACCTCAACAGCATTGAAGGCACAGTTGAACTCAACAACATTGAAGCCACAGTTGAACTCAAAGTGTTGAAGCCACGGTTGAACTCAACAGCATTGAAGCCTCAGTTGAACTCAACAGCACTGAAGCCACGGTTGACATCAACAGCATTGAAGGCACAGTTGAACTCAACAACATTGAAGCCACAGTTGAACTCAACAGCATTGAAGCCTCAGTTGAACTCAACAGCATTGAAGCCACAGTTGAACTCTACAGCATTGAAGTCAGGCAAGGAGGAATGCTTCAGAAAAAGCTCCTGATATAAAACCAAAACCTACAACAACTTCCTGTCCTGTCAACCACAATGCATTGAAGCCAGTTTAAGAACCGCATGGACATTGAAGCATGAAGTGTTGAAGCATTTTCTACAAGTACGTATCCTTCCTCTGAATCATTCAGTGTGCAAGCTACGCCTACAATAACTGCATACTTCTTTAAACCATTTAGTATCAAATCGAGAACAAGAACGCCATGTTCCACTGGAATGTTGAGTGTGTAAGCCAGACAATATAATACGGGTTTTCCTGGTATTGAAGTTTAAATAGCGTATTTATGCGAAGTATTTTTGAAGCGTAATATTTCTGATATTGTGAGCACAGCTGGCGTCCACTGAGATGTCTTTCTACCGTTGGCCGTTGTGACGTTGTTCATAATTCTTGGACCAAGCACGATGCAACGGATTTAAATTGTGTGTGTCTGTGCGTGTCTGTGTGGCTGTGTGTGTCTGTGTGACTGAGTATGTGTAGTGATGTGTTCATTTCTGAGCCTTATATCATTATATGCTGTTCCGTAAGTGTTGGTTTGATATACTGATGTTTATGTAAAGTATTGAACATCGACAAGGTCTTGCATTACTCGGATATATAAATACCCAATATTCGGATTGGTAGACGAGGATGTTCAAGCCTCCTCGAAGATGTCATGTGATGTGCATTACCAAAGATCTGAGACATTGTGGTTTCATGACAGACACATTCTTTGGTGTGCCCCTCGAAAGAGAATATACTCACCGTCAAAAGAAACGCGAACCATAGAAACATATAGAGAAGTGTGTACGTTAAGAAGAGATGTTTCCAATGTGTACCACTTAATGACAAAACTAACAATCAGTCAAGTTTTACCACAGTGTCTTTATTCTTATCACGATATGCTGCACGTGATTACCACACTTTACACGCTAATCCTGCACGAGACAAATGTGCATCTCGGGTCGTGGATCTATAGCGTCATATGTGATGCGTTCATGAGCGTCGGTTCACAGAACATACCAGTATGTTCGTTTGTACATCAAACCAATCTAATATCTCTTAAAAATGAGTAATTCATTTTTATAAACCCAACAAATATCATGGTATTCGCGTTTTTGTTGTCGGTGAGTATGTATTGTACAGGTACACCAGGACGGGGGTGCGCACCCCCCCCCCCCCCCCCTTTTTATTTCGAAAAAAATCTTTATTTCTGTATAAATTATCACCAAAGACAATAAATAGATCTTAATTGTCAACCCCCCCCCCCCCCCCCCCCTTTCAAAAAAGCTGTATCCGCCCATGACTTTGTAGAGGCACGGGTGGCCCAGTCGTCTTAGGCGCCGCGATTCGATGTGCAGAGTTGCGTCCCTTGGACACGCCAGAAACCTATGATTGTGGGTTCGAATCCCTGTTCGCCCCGATTATGTTTCTAGGTTTGTCAGCAACATACCCGTGCTCGTGGGTGTAACCGAAGTGGTAAACGTCTGAGACGTGCATCACTTTGAGCTTTCCTCCCACATTAAGCTGACACGCCGCGATATAACTGGAATACTGTTAAAAGCGGCCTTAGACCCAACTCACTCACTCCTATCACCTTGTAACATATAATTTAGATATATGAATACAATTATACATGTAATGATGCTATGATTATGTTTGGTCGGCCTATCTGATATGTGTTAGGTCAACGCCTTGGCCCCAGTCAAAGTGCTATAGCTGGAAGTACACGTATACTGATCAGTAAAAGTAACGTTACATATGTCGTTAAATATAGAGTCTAGGGCGTTTGTAATCGTCAGGTGTACCGTCAGTATCGTATTAATGTCAATGTGTGATGCATTAGCAAATGTGTGGCGATCATCGGTTTGTGAAGTTAGACTGGTATACAGTAAGCTGTAATCGCATGATCTCAGAGACGCCAAATTATGTCATTATTGACGGTCAACATTAGCATTTCATAACTGTCAGCCCAGGTGACTGTCGTCTAGGATGCCGAAGTTCTTTGCGAGTTGCCTCCCTTAGGCGTGTCAGAATCTTTGGATCAAGGGTTTTGCCCCGATTTTGATTCTTACTTTGTTGGCATTATACCCGTGTTCGTAATGTGGTAAACGTTGCTTGAAACCGTGACTTTACTACTCAGCTTTAATACTTCATATTCACTTACTCCTTCCCGGTATTACATGATGCATTGTGGGTAAGGGACAGACCATTATCTACTGGGGGTGGGTAGGGTAGGAGTTTTGTATGGAGAATAGATATTTTTCAGCTGCAGCTGCAAGCCAGATATTTTTCTAATTGAACCTATGAGCCTGAATATTATACCTTGACCTGGTGTTCCCTTCGTTGAGAGTCAGCAACATCTACCACTTGATGACAACGTTACGGCCGTGTCAGCAACATGTCCAACATAGCATTATATATATATATGCCTGTTTGCCTGTAATGTTGTTTTCTGTTTCATTCCATATGTTTTCGAATTAAAATAAATAGTTCTTTGTTTGACTTTTGTATTTCCTGTTCCATGGATGTCACCTGGACGTCACCTATAAAGTCAACCATAGTCATGTAGCTCACCAGTACCACGTAGCTCACCTGGTGTGACCTGAAGGTCCCCAGTTGTCTGTGTTTGTCGTAAGAAGGACTAAGGGGATCGGGTGGTCAGGCTCGGTGACTTGGTGGCGTGTCATCGTACGCGGTCGGAGTTGATCGATGCTCATGATGTTAATTACTGGATTGGTCCAGGGCCCAGTTGCACAAAGCGATCTTAGCGCTGCGATTATCGTAAGTCTATGTTAAAAGTATGGGAGTTATGAGTCTTAGTGCTAAGACTGCTTTGTGCAGCGGGGCCCACGCTCGGATTATTTATAGACCGCCGTCACATGGCTGGAATATTGCTGAGTGCGGCGTTTAACTACAAACAAATACACCCTGAATTTCTTCTGGATGATGTATTAACATCAAGCATTACTTATGGTAGTGAATGCTGCAACGTGCGTTTTCATCGTTGTTTATGTACGAGGTTACTGTGATGACCTCTATGTCCAGAGGGGCGATCAGGTAGCCCAGTGGTTAAAGCGTTCGCTCGTCACGCCGATGACCCGGGTTCGATTCCCGACATGGGTACAATGTGTGAAGCCCATTTCTGGTGTCCCCTGCCGTGATATTGCTGGAAATTTGCTAAAAGCGGCGTAAAATCCAACTCACTCACTCACTCTATGTCCAGAAACATGGCGGCGTGCTACTTCTGTTCACTGTGCCTACTTGCCGTATAACCTTTGTTTGCTTGTATTCCGGCAATATGGCGGCGGTCTGTAAATAATCGAGTCTGGACCAGACAAACCAGTGATATCATGTTTCAACCAGTGATATGACATGCATCAACCAAGTCAGCAAGCCTGACCACCCGATCCCGTTAATCGCCTCTTACAACAAGCATGGGTTGCTGAAGACCAATTCTAACCCGGATCTTCACGGGTCTTGACCTATAACTGCCTTCAAGCACGTGTGCCTCATATGAATGTATACTAACTCTTCCATCTGGAACCACATCGATAACTGAAGCAAATTGGGGCACGGATGGCCAATAAAGTGATAAACCGGGCTTTTCTTCCACATTAAGCTGACATGCAGTGATATAACTGGAATATCGTTTCAAATATTCCAGTTTAAACAGACGGCAGTGTTTGAAGCGCGTGTACATGACGGTGATGTTATACGCATAGAGACAGATTTTATTGATGCTTCACGGCTGTTTCAGGACCTTTAGAACAGGCAGCACGAAGTTGGGGACAGAGTGGTCCCCGAGTACCGCGTGCCGACAAATGAGGATTGGGTGGTCGATAAATGGGAACTGGATGGCGGACAAATGAGGATTGAGTGGTCGATAAATGAGGATTAGATGGCCGACTAATGGGGACGGTATTGCCAACAAATGAGGATTGAGTGGTCGATACATGAGGATTAGATTGCCGACTAATGGGGACGGTATTGCCAACAAATGAGGATTGGGTGGTCGATTAATGCGGATTAGATGGCCGACTAATGGGGACGGCATTGCCGACAAATGAGGATTGGGTGGTCGATAAATGAGGATTGGATAGCCGACTAATGGGGACGACATTGCCGACAAATGAGGATTGAGCGATCGATAAATGAGGATTAGATGGCCGACTTATGGGGACGGTATTGCCGACAAATGAGGATTGGGTGGTCGATAATTGAGGATTTGATGGCCGACTAATGGGGACGGTATTGCCGACAAATGAGGATTGGGTGATCGATAAATGAGGATTGGATGGCCGACTAATGGGGACGGTATTGCCAACAAATGAGGATTGGGTGGTCGATAAATGAGGATTAGATGGACGACTAATGGGGACGACATTGCCGACAAATGAGGATTGGGTGGTCGATAAATGAGGATTAGATGACCGACTAATGGGGACGACATTGCCGACAAATGAGGATTGAGCGATCGATAAATGAGGATTGGATAGCCGACTAATGGGGACGGTATTGCCGACAAATGAGGATTGGGTGATCGATAAATGAGGATTGGATAGCCGACTAATGGGGACGGTATTGCCGATAAATGAGGATTGGGTGGTCGATAATTGAGGAATTGGTGGTTAGAATGTATATCATCCAGCATGTTCTGTGTCTTAGTACCCCAGGATCGGCGGTCGAGCTGTCAATTTTGTTTGTTGATTATTTACAGGATGTCATGTCACAGTTTGATGACCGGCGTCTATATACGTTTACTCACTCACTCACTCACACGTCCAGGCAGCTCTAGGGCAGTGGACCTGAAGCAAGAAATGTTGTGTTCGAGCCCGAAATACCAACAGTGTTCTTTATTTTTAACTTAGGGGCAAATGAACCCATCAGTAGATTTTATTTTAGGTTTGAGTTTTATTTGAAAATATCTTAGCGATATTATATCCAAAAAATGAACCGTTCAGTCAGCATTCAAAGAATACTTCAACATGGTTCTATTTTAAATAATATAATTTGATTCAAAACTTGATTCAAAACTTGATTCAAAATGCTAATGGGAATCTTAGAATCATATCACAAACATGATACTAGCAATGACATCGTAGTTGTGGCTAACAAAGCTCTAAACGCATCATCCACTATTAAACGCATCATTTACTTGCAATGACACCTTCGCTGTGGCTAACAAAGCTCTAAACGCATCATCCACTACTAAACGCATCATTTACTTGCAATGACATCGAAGCTGTGGCTAACAAAGCTCTAAACGCATCATCCACTACTAAACGCATCATTTACTGGCAATGACATCGTAGTTGTGGCTAACAAAGCTCTTAACGCATCAAACAATTAAGCGAGTCTAACCACCCGATCCCGTTTGTCGCCTCAGTGTAAGCGAACCTCTCTGAAGAAGTTTTTGCCTTCAGCGTGAATTTTGTCCCAGAAAAGCTGGTAAAAGTGATCATATAGCCTGTGATCAAGCCACGCTCACCGTCTATGTCGTTCATTTTAGTAATCGTTTCATGAGGACAACTATCAACTATCAAACGCATCATTCACTATTAAACGCATCATTTACTTGCAATGACACCTTCGCTGTGGCTAACAAAGCTATAAACGCATCATCCACTGCTAAACGCATCATTTACTGGCAATGGCATCGTAGTTGTGGCTAACAAAGCTCTTAACGCATCATTCACTACTAAACGCATCATTTACTTGCAATGGCAGAGTAGTGGTGGCTAACAAAGCTCTAAACGCATCGTTCACTAGCAATGGCACCTACACTGTGGCTAACGAAGCTGTAAACGCATCATTCACCAGCAATGGCACCTTCACTGTGGCTAACAAAGCTATAAACGCATCATTTACTACTAAACGCATCATTTACTTGCAATGACATCGTATTTGTGGCTAACAAAGCTACAAACGCATCATTCACTGGTAAACACATCATGTACTTGCAATGGCAGAGTAGTGGTGGCTAACAAAGCTCTAAACGCATCATTCACTACTAAACGCATCATTTACTTGCAATGGTAAGTAGTGGTGGCTAACAAAGCTCTAAACGCATCGTTCACTAGCCATGGCAAGTAGTTGTGGCTAATAAAGCCTTAAATGCATCATCCACTAGCAATGGCACCTTCACTGTGGCTAACAAAGCTATAAACGCATCATTTACTACT